TAGATGAGGGCATTGATGACCTTGGAGAATTTTATGGAGCAAGAAAGGCTTTTGCAGAATGGAATGCAAGGTTGGTGATTCTTTTTGTTTGTTGGAGATGATTGATTGATATTCTTGGGTGTTCTTATTGACTTTAATTTTGGATTTTGTAGTGCAATGGGTGGTTCTGTTCCTTTTGAGGAGGCCGTAGCTGCTAGACTTTCTTTGTTCAAACCTTCAATTTTGGATTTTTTAAGGCAATGGGCAATGAGTGATTTTTTATTGTTAAAGGGAAAACCGGTTAACCAGTTAACACGTTTTTCGGTTAACCGAAAAATTGATTTTTCCCTTAATTGGTTCGATTTCAGTTCAAGAAATTTCTTGATTTAGAACATTGGTTCGGTTTAAAAAAGCAGGAAACCGATTCGATTAACCGGTTATGATCACCCCTAATGTTTAGGACCTATGTGAATAGTACACAACTCGGCCCACCCATTTTTTTTTTTCTAGTGGGCCAAGTGGTACTCGCGAGTACCGGCAAAAAATTAAGAGAGAAAGGGGAAAACATTGCTAAGCCCCTAACTCCTCCAACCCAAGTCTCATCTCATTTCATCTCTAAGGGAAAGTCGTCGCCGTTGCACACCCTGACCCTCTCATCTCTCTCACAGTTTGTCACTGTCGCCAGCATCGGTCATCACCGATTATCCCCTCCAACCTTAACTCTCAAGTCAAGTTTGAATACTTTATTCCTCTTTAAGACTTAAACCTCTACTCAAAAACTCAAAGCTTTCCATTTCTTTCCTCTTCACTTTCTAGCTATTAAGCACCATCTCTCTCTTTGCGACATGGGTACAAAACCAGGAAATAAACTCCACAGCTATTGAAATACCAGGTCAATTGAACCTTCTTAGTAATATTCACTTGTACAAAACACTTAATAGCTTTCTTTCTTTAACTCAAATCTCTATTGTGTTTTACAGACATGGGTTTTGAAAGTTTCCATCCACTACTAAGGCTATAAGAAGAAAGTCAAGAAAGTTTCTAAGAGCATTAATGATGAAAATGTATTGATCTTTGCTTGAAGTTTGGTGAAATTGATGATGAAATTGTATTGGGTTTAGTTGTTAAGTATGTATGATTGGTGAAATTGAAAATGTTGTGCATAAAAAGTGAAAAAGGTAAAATTATGGCAGATTTGGGAAAAACGACTGACTTATGGGTTCACTCGTACCCTCATGACTAGGTATGGATTATGTATTTCCTTACTTGTTTACATTTTGGACCTGTTTTACCCGCACCCGTCTTTACCCGACCCGTGTCCGCCCTATTTACTCGTTTACTAGGTCTAGTAGATGAGTTGTGAAAGATTAGGGCCCCTTTGGTTCACTCTTTAAAATATTATTCTGGTTTTTCCAATAAAGTTAAATAGTAAAATTGGTCTTTGGTTCACATATCAATCCAAACAATTCAAAATATTACTCATAATATTTTTGACCGTTTCTGTCAAGTCTTTGTTAATAACTTTTTGATTATTTCTCCTAACTCCTACTGACATTTTTATTCCATCTTCTTCTCTTTATTTACTCCACCTATTCTCCACTAGAACACAACCATGAATCCCTTCCTCTCTCTCAGTCCGTCAACCAAGCACAAAGCACCCATTTTTCTTCTATTCTTCACTGAAAAGGCTTCCTACACTTTTTCTCTTACACCTTTAGAGACCATTTTCCCTTCTTCTTCTCCTTCTTCACTCAAAGTTTCAAACCCCTAGAAACCCATAGAAAAACTTCCTCCATTGCGATCTCTCTCTCCCTCCTTCCGACAACAAACCAATCTGCACTGATTGTGGGATTTTCCTCACAACTTTGTCACTCTCGTGAAGGCCATCTTAGTTCTCTCTTGTGTGCTCTCTCTCCTTCTGTCAAGCATCCTTCCTGCAATCAATTTCGTTTCAGATCCAGATGCAACCGAGCTCATCTCTTCGATTTCGTCCTCAACATCTCAGATTCAAAGCACATACGTAATTGTTAACCTTTTGTTTGTTTTTTAATTTTTTTTTTCTTTCATTTTTCCTTAGTATTTTTGCTATGTAAGTGAACGCTGCCTACATACCCATATATTCTTTGAGGCAAATACTTGATAGTTCATACTCTTCAAAAGAATGTATGTTGCTTCATGGAATCTTGGTTTTAAGCAAATGCATGTTAAAAAAATGGACATTCGTGTTGCATAGTTGCTCTACCCTTACTGTTAGGTGTGTCACATTGTTGTTGCTTTTAATTACTGATCAACACTTGCTTTTTCGGTGAGCGGCTAATTTTCTCTTTAATCTTTTGTTTTATATTCTCTTCTGTTGTGTTGGACAGATTAAGTTTAATTTGGGGGTGAGTACTTTGAGAATGAGATCTGGTCATTGTATAGTTCCCATTGCAAATTTTGGCTTCGCAATAACATGTAAATTTCTGATGTTGAGAAAATTGATTTCTAGCCATTAGCTTTTACAACTAATGGCAAAGCTTGGCCAAAGGTGATATGTTGTATATGTAAATGTCTGTTAGATTAGACCATTCATTCCATGGTGTACAATAATGTAGGAATTTACACTTGGAAGGTTGAGTATCACTTCAATTGAATGGTGGCCTTAAGACCAGTTTCATGCTTATTGCCTCCCCAGTATGTTTCAATTTTTTTGCCCCCATGTTATAGATTATTACAGAATGGTGGCTTTTCCGTTTGCACCAAATTATTTTATTTTCTTACAAAACTTTCTTTCTTTGAATCTATGTTATTGTTATTATTAGAGCTTGGACTTTTTTTTTCAATTAAAACGAGGTAAAGTAAACACTATATCCTTTGGACTAATTGTTATAAGTTTGCATATGGTGGTAAGATTTTCTTTAGAGCCATTAACATGACTTTTAGGTTATAATACTCTAATAGATGAACTAAATTTGAATGGTTAACAGAAGTGGGTGTTGGTTGGGGAGGTCTGATTTTTAAATCTTGCCAAGCCACATATCAGTGGTTGTTGATAACTCCAAGTTAAAGCAAAAGGCTGAAATTATTTGTCTAACTTATGTATTAATCATTTTGTAGGTTGATAACTCCAAGTTGATCGTAATAGCTACTTACAATGCTATGAACAAATGTACATGTCACTCAGCCCGCCGACGCAGAATTGATTATTACTTTTGACAGTGGAGGACGTTTTGACATTTTTTCGGAATTGGGTTACACAGTAGACCTTGTTGGTCTACCTTGACTGTAGTGTCCCTTGTTCTTTCCGTTGAAAGCAGCGTTGGGTCAAACGAGTTAATATTTTCTATCTGTTTTGTTTATAATGTTGTATGTTGCATATGTTCATATTGATATGTTTGCTTATTGTTACAATATTTCAATCCTGGTTGTTGTTCCCACCTTACTATTATTAGATGAGTGAGTCCGTTCAATGGACTACTGAACTCACCCATAGGTTTTTAGAACTGTTGGTTGAATGGGTGAAAATAGCCCACGGTACTATAATAAAATCTTCTGACCACAAGAGGATTAGTGAACAATTACAAAATGTAGCGAACAAGAAACAGGAAGTGTCACAGTTATCTTCTAAGTACCAACACTTGCCATCGACATACAAGTCTTGGCGTGCGCTAATAGAACATACGGGGTTTGGTTGAGATCACGAGTCCCAAACTCCAACATATCCTAAAGAGATGTGGGAAGAATATATAAAGGTAAACAACATTTTTTTTTTCCAATTCTTATAACACAGTAGTCAGTATGCATTTTTTTTTTTTTTTGGAAAATGTGAATTAATGTATGTCTATTTTCATTAACAGCAAAACCCTTGTGCGTAGCAATTCCTACATAAGGGACTTGTTGATAGGGAGTTATATGAGGTCATATTCAAGAAGCAAAATGCAACTAGCAGATTTGCTTACACATCTGCGTCTCAACCTACGACATCCAACATGGATTTTCTCAATCCTATTGAGGCAGACATGGATCCAGATGACTTCGATTCTGATCTAGATAGGTCAACTGGGGAAAAACAATCTAATAGGTTTAGAGATAGCAGATTCGTAAATAGGAGGAGAGACGTGCAGGGAAACCCATTATTGGGTGTGATTGGTCAGTTGGCAGAAGCTATTTCCAATAGGATTGGTTAGTTGGCGGAAGCTATTTCCAATAGGACTATGGGATCTGTAGCATCAAATCGCAGTGGTGGTGATAGGACCTAAGGGAACACAAGTGCTAGGATGGATTGATATTCCCTGGAAAATTGTCAGACAATTTTGGAAAGTATGCAACTTCCACCGCAACTATATTTGGATGTTGTGAAGTACTTAATTGCCAACCCATAGTGGCATCAGCTAATGGTGAACATATCACCGGAGATAAGGGAATTTCGGGTTTATAATGACTTCCGTATTATGTAGATGATGGTGTTTGACTTCCTTGTTGAACTTGTATTTTTCACTTGGTAGTCTTTATTTATTCCTTTGACATTTGAGATATTTTATATTTACTTTCTTCATATTAAAGACTTAACTTGCTTTGTTCTAAGAAACGATACACCATGTGTTGTTGTGCAATGTTTCATATATGTTGGATATGGTCAACTGATTTTAAAATTGAATGTTCTTTATACTTTGGTTAGTATTAAAAAAGTATGAACTAATGAACAAATTATTACAAATGGACATGTATAAATGGCGTCGTCTAGCCATACAAACCATAATCGAGATAATGAAAGTGAGGAAGTAGAGTTATATGTACATGCTGCAGCCGCATTGTGTGGGGCTATTGCATATGAAACAAAGTTCAGCATGCAAGGATGCCAACTTATACATACATCTGCATTAAATGGTCACGACTATATGGTGGAACTACTAAATGGTCATCATACAAGAATATACAATAAGTGTTGCATGAGCAAACGATGTTTTCAGACCTTATGTTATATATTGGCACAACAAGGCAAATTGCGAGTAACCAGGCACATGAGTATTGAAGAGTAAGTAATGATATTTTTGACAACAATTGGGAAAAATGCGTCAAATAGTGATTGTATGGAGGATTACCAACATTCCGGTGAGATAGTCTCTAGATATGTCCATGCAGTTTGTGATGCGATATTGGAGTTAACGTCAGACTTTATCAAGCCACCTGACTTCACTTATGTTCCATTGGAGATATCGACCAACCCAAACTACTACCCATTATTTAAGGTACTTAATTATTTTTAATTAGTTGGTAGTTAACTTCATTGTTTCATAATTGTTGTTCATCTTCACATATTACTAAAATGCAATTTTGTCGACAAGACTGTCTTGGAACGATTGATGGTACACATGTACGTGTGTGGACACCAGTTGAGGTAGCCGATACGTACCGAAATCGTAAAGGGGCATTATCGCAGAATGTGATGGCCGTCTGCGACTTTAATATGTTGTTCACATATGTTGTCACCGGCTAGGAAGGATTTGCCCATGATGCAAAGGTTCTAAATTCAGTTCTAGAAGATCCTGATTCGGGCTTTCCACATCCTCCTCCAGGTATAACTAACTTCTTTATATATTCTAGCTAAACTGTAAACATTTTTTTTATGATTCTTCAAATAACATTCAGCATTTCATTATAGGCAAATATTACTTAGTAGATGCAGGTTATGCGAACAGAGGTGGGTTCCTCGCCCCACATAGACGAGTTCCTTATCATGTTCCCGATGCGCGTTGTAACCTTTTTGAACCTATGGAGTTGTTTAATTACAGACATGCATCGCTTTGGAATGTTGTGGAGAGGACCTTTGGTGTTTTGAAAAAAAGGTTCCGCATTCTTGATGGCATGAACAATTACCCGTTAGAGAAGCAATTTAAAATTGTTATGACATGTTGTGTAATTCATAATTTTATCAGAAGGTTCGATATGAACGACCCTATCTTCCAAAAGTTTAATGCCGATGGAGTTTATGAGGAAGGAAATGGGACGGGTTCGAATCAACCAACTCTGCGTAATACAGACGACATGGGAATTGTGAGGGATAGCATAACTTATGCTATGTGGGCAGAACATGAGTCCATCTCGTATTGTTAACTGAATATTGGGGTACGAAGAATTCTGAGGGATGATTATTAGTAGCTTCGTATTATTAATTTAGATGTGTATTAATACCGTGTTTTTAAATGATATATTAGATTATTAGTAGTTGAAATTATTACGGAGAATTTGTTTTTAATTCAATGATAAAAAAATTACCAAACAACTAATTAATATTATTTAAATGTAAATTGAAAAGTTCAATAATCAAATAATAAATTTTTTAATAAAATGCATCAAAATATTCTATCTTAAAATCCTTTTTGAAAAAATATACTAAACAATTATTCATCAATTTATTTAACTCAAATATAATACATATTCAAATTCAAACCCTATTATATTAAATACAACTCAACTCAACTCAACTTTTTTCAAAAAAACCATTCTAAAAGGTGTCAAAATAGTGAATCAAATGGAGCCTGTAAACCCCGCGGTATTCTTCTGATGCCCTAAGGTATGAAATTTACCTTTTCAAGTAATTTTCTTTTTTTTGAATGGAAGGGTAAAATGGTCAATTTACATGTATTTCGAGATATGGCCATTATAAAGTGTAAGGGGTGATGTCATTGAAGAGAAATGAGGGTAGAATAGTCATAAAGTTGATTGATATGGTTAAATGGCGTAAATGGTAACCAAGGGTATAATGGTCTTTTCATACAAATCCATATGAAATACGTATCCATAAAAGCGCACCAAGGGTAAATTAGTCATTTACCTAATGAGATTGCTTAATTGTTAAGTGTTTTAAAGAAGTCAAATGGCATTAAATGAGTGCTAATTATTATGTTGTGGCAGAAATGAACAAAACGCCCTTATATGAAAAAATTATGCCAAATGACCCTTATATCTAACTTTTATTGACCAATCACATTAGAGTAATAATGGAATAAATATTTACAAGGTTTTAAGAGAGAGTAGTCGACCTTGTACAGCCCAAATGTATCATCTTCTTCTTCCTCTCTCAAATCCACCATAAAAGCCACTAATCCAAGCATTTCATTCTCAAATTTTCTTAGGATTTCAAGTTGATTTTCAAAGGAGATCACCATCCACACCTAAAGAACTTCAATTTTAGGGTTTAAGGTGAGTTTCAAAACCCTAGTTTTTCTGATCTTTTAGTTAAAAGAGAAATTCATAAGTGGCTATGTGTGTAAGGTAGAAAGGGTGAACCTTTGGAGCTAAGGAGGAGTGTCTTTGTGCTTTGAATACTAAGGTAAGGAAAAAAAATCTCCCTTATGACTACAATTGATAACACCTAGGGTTTATGAAACTTAGATTTATTTATGTTAATATGAGTGTGAGGCTATGTTTTGGTTATGGATTGTTTAAATGGGTGTGTTGATTGGTGTATGTGTGCATATGGAGGATGATTATGCCAATTAAGAGATTTGTAGTTGGACGATGTTTTGGCACTTTTTGGTTCTATAAAAAGGGAGGTTTTTATGGCCTTTTATACTAAGAATGATATGGCAAATGATGTGAATGTGCAAATGAAGGTGACATGGTTAAAATGAATAGAATTCGGATTTGACTTTTTAGGACTTATACTGTACATGCTTCACTGAATCGGTCATAACTGAAGTTATAGAAGTCCGATTGAGTTGATTCTTGAAGTGTTAAAAAGTGGAGAAATAGACCTAAAACTTTTATAGCCAAAAATCAATTCGAATTGAAAGATAAGGGAAAAATTACTTGAAAAGTGACGAACTATATGGCATCCACCTTCTTAATGGAAACTCCCATTTGTTTTTAATTCTAATAAACCCCTGAATAATCTTACAACAGAAATTCCTTGTATTGTATGAGAAATAGAATGAATTAAGTTAAGAAGTGTACTAGGAGAATATAGTATGATTGAGCATGGGAGATGTTAGTCCATATGTTTGCATTCATAATGGTAATGCATATAGCTTATTTAGTTGTCTTATGAAAAAATTTATGAAATGTTAAAGAATGAATTACATGAGTCTCTTGAGGTATAAACCAAGATCAGAGGAATGGAATTCTTATGGAAACCATGAGTCCTTTGAGGTGACGACCAAGAACAAGGTAATGGTTTAAATGAATCCGATCGGATAACAAAGACTAATGAAACCATCAAGTATAAAGACAAAAGAAATAAGCATGTCATGTACATGAATATTTCATAAGTCATATATATTCTATGTTATAGTATGTATGTTCTATGTTATAGTATGTATGGTTATGTTATGACTTATGTTTATGACAAAAGTCCAAAGTGTATGATATGTTTTATGAACTTGTTATGTCAAAGAATGAAGGTCATGTTTTGTAGGTAGGTAAGGTCCTAAGTATTATATACTTGTATAATGAACCTTAATAGTTTATAAATGGCCATATTTCCTTACTGAGCGATTAGCGCTCACCCCACGAAATGTTTTAAAATGTTTTGCAGGTAAGGATTAAGGCATAAAGTTGGGAGAGGATTCTGAGGGACGCTATGAGCATAAAGGGATGTTTCAATGATGACTGTTGAATGGTTTTGCTAGTTGTTAGTGTAGTAATTATGTTCATATTTCATATTGCAACAAATCTGTCCATGTTCTATAATGGAGTAAATATGTTGTGTTAATAAAGGAAATCAAATTGCTAGTAAATTTTGTAAAAGTGTGTATGTTTTAGTAAGTATTACTATGAATTTCATAATTTACTCTAAGAAAGGAAACTATATTTTTTGACTCATACAATAAACTTAATTAAGCAAATATATATATATGCTTTTAAACTACCAAGCTTATTCTTTAAATAGGATTTTAAAATAAACTTCTTTCCTAGGCATGCGTTTTCTAGGTTCTCAATGGCCAAGGGATACTTAGGAAATACCTGGCTAGGGAGGGGTTTTACATAGCCTTTCTTTTTTTTTAATTTTTTAATTATGATTTTAAGAAAAATTTTTAAGTAAAAGGAATAAACAATTTTAGCACGCACTTTTAGATGTTTAAAAGGTAACAACAAATATTCTTTTGACTTGAGCATTCCAATATTAAAAAAACTATTTATAATTATTGGATTAAAATCTTTTGAACTTAAATATTTGTATGTTATCGAAGTACAATTAAACAAATGATAAATAATTTAATAATTTTCTCAACAGTAAATATAATCCTTATTGCAATAACTATATTTTCCTAGCTCACATATTTTAAAATGTTCCCATATATATACTTTGGGTTGCATCATTGATTAGGCTATTTGAAGTTGAAAAATTTTCATCTTCCATTTAAAAAATATAGATTAAAATATAATTTAAAGCTAAAAATCAAGTAAATACTTATAACATGAATTTTCATAAGCTACATTGCCATGAAATTGTTAAATAACCGCTTCAATAGTTGACAGATCAAACGCAAGCGGTGACTAGAGTAATAATAATAGTGTCCATCATGTGTTTGATAAATATTGCCATAATAATAAGATTCTAATACCAAAACATGCATATGAAATAGACAACTTACTATTAATATGGATTTGTCTAACTAAAATAAAAGCTACACGTATCTTTTTGAGTCAGTGGTCCTCACACGCTATACAATATAAATAATTTGGAAAGTTATACCAAACAATGCCTCATTGTTGGAGACAATTTGGCACATCACATACCATTTGGTGCTACTCTGTTTTGAGTATGTTGTGATGTGGCACTTGATGACACTCGTAGAAGTCAAATTTGTAGTATGACTGGTTAATGTAAATTGTTAAGACTTGAGGGGCAGTTCAATCTATTTGCTATCTTCGAATGACCTAATCTATTTTTAGGTCTTGTGCGCAGCCCACTTCTCTGGATTCTCTCTTGGTTAACAGAGAGAGAAATCAATTAGAGGTGCTGTGCTGGAAATCCGAGGTTCGTCCATGGAATCAACGGTGATGGTAGGTGTGAGCTGTCCTTATTGTTTAGTCTTTCTTTTGCTTTATAAATTGATACTGATTTCTGTCTATTTTGTGGTGGTATGAGTGGTGAGAGCATCTGGGTATACGGGTGTAAAATCAGAGGGTTTTGTATCGGGTTTGTGCCTGTGTAAAGGGGTGAGCCGATTCTTCTGTAAGGTTTCTCAAACTCATAGTGAAACTTTCTTTTTCTTGCTCTGAAGAGTGGATGTAGGTAATCGTTAAGATTACCGAACCACTATAAATCTGGTGTCATCTCTCTCTCCCTTTTCTCTTCTTTTATATTTTGCTTAATCGTTATTACTGCACTCAATATTGGTGGTTGCTGCATTTTTGGTTACTGCATGTTTGTACTATTTTTGGATTACATTTTATAACAGAGTACATCATTGTTTTTGTGTTGTGCAACAGATTTTCAGAAAGATAATTCTTAGGGTTTCTTAGTTGTTCAAGTGATTCAAGGTTTTTTATTAACCCAAAAACCAAATCGATTTAATCAATTCTTAAACCTTTAAATTGATCAGTTTAGATATAGCATACATAATCAAACCAATCAGGTCTAATCGTTTGGTTCAGCTATGTGGGTATTAATTCAGTGGCGAACCCAGGATTTTTTGCGAGGAGAGGCCTTCGTGGCTCCGCCATTGTTTGTCAAACAACTAGTGAAAATTTAAAAAAAAATCAACAAACTTTAAGTAAAAGAAATAATATAATATCAATAATTTGAAAGAAAATAATACAACAACACAATACATTACCACTTGAATAAATTTATAAGAAACAAAACCTTGAGTAAATTATGTTAAAAATAACAAGGAAACACAAAAAAAATTTTACGTGGAAAAACCTTTTCAATTAAAGAGAGTAAAAGACCACGGGAATCTAACGATCTACTTAAATCCAATATAATTAAAAGAGTTTACAACAATCATAATCCACCAAAAATGTTCTAAAAAAATTTCTTATTTCTCCTCTTTTTTTTTTTTTTTCTTTTAATTTTTTTTTTCAAAGATTGTAATATAAATTTTTATGATTTTGATCACCTAGCCTAAACTAAAGTCAATTAAAACTTAAATTAAGTCAACGTT